AGACGACGAGGCCTTCATTGCTTCTGAAGTAAAGCGTTTACTTGACCAACACATCATTGAACCCTCGAAGTCCCCATGGAGAGCGCAAGTGCTCGTCACGACAAATGAACGACAGAAGAAGCGAATGGTGGTTGACTATAGTCAAACTATAAACCGATTTACGCAACTAGACGCTTATCCGCTCCCCAGACTTGAAGATTTAAGTACTAAAATAGCTCAATATCGTATTTTCAGCACGCTTGATCTTGAAAGTGCGTATTATCAGATACCCATTAAAGAAAGCGACAGAATCTACACGGCTTTTGAGGCTTGCAACAACCTCTATCAGTTCCGTCGAATACCTTTCGGAGTAACGAATGGGGTAGCCTGTTTTCAAAGGGTAATGGATGACATAATACGCGCCGAACAACTTACCGGGACATATGCGTATGTGGATAATGTTACCATTTGTGGAAAGAATCAAGAAGAACATGATCGAAACCTCCAGCTTTTCCTCACCGTAGCACAAAAGTACGGCCTTCAGTTAAATCACGATAAAAGCACGATTTCCACCACTAAGCTCAGACTCCTCGGCTATGAAATTACTGAAGGTGTCATCAAACCAGACCCTGAACGCTTCAAGGTATTGCAAGAACTGCCCGTTCCGAACGACATCAAGTCTCAACAACGAGTGGTAGGATTGTTCGCGTACTATTCTCGTTGGATAAGCCGTTTCTCGGATAAGATCTACCCAATCACTCACAATACAACCTTTCCTGTCCCTGAATCTGTTATAAAAGCATTTGAAAGTTTGAAAAAGGAGTTGATGGATGCAGCCTTGGTCACTATCGACCCGAGAATACCTTTGGTGCTCGAAACTGATGCATCTGATGTCGCGATTTCTGCTACACTCAATCAAGATGGCAGACCGGTCGCATTCTTCTCACGTACACTGTCTGCCAGCGAAAAACACCATTCCGCTATTGAGAAAGAAGCGTGCGCAATTGTCGAAGCAGTGCGCAAATGGAGGCATTACCTACTCGGGACCCATTTCAAAATTATAACTGATCAGCGATCCGTTGCATTCATGTACTCAACACAACAAAAAGGGAAAATAAAAAATGACAAAATCCAACGGTGGCGGATGGAGTTGTCGCCTTTTTCTTTTGACGTTACCTACAGACCAGGCATAGAAAACAAAGCTGCTGACACGCTTTCTCGAAGTGTCTGTGCGAACACTTCATCTAACCTGGATCTAAAACGCTTACACACAACCCTGTGTCATCCTGGAGCAACACGCATGATGCATTTCGTTCGTGCCAAGAATCTACCATTCTCCCTAGAGGATATCCGACTCGTCATTAAGCAGTGTCAAGTGTGTGCGGAACTAAAACCACGTTTCTTCAAGTCATCTGGCGGTACCCTCATTAAAGCCACACAAACGTTTGAACGCTTAAGCATTGACTTTAAGGGACCACTGCCTTCGACGACTCGAAACAAATATCTACTGACGATCGTAGACGAATATTCCCGTTTTCCGTTCGCCTATGCATGTCCAGATATCAGTTCGTCTACGGTGATATCATGCCTTGTGCCACTGTTCGCCACATTTGGCCTGCCAAGTTTCGTGCATTCGGATCGTGGCTCATCATTCATTTCGGATGAGATCAAACGATTTCTTCATGAAAAAGGTGTAGCCACCAGTCGGACCACTCCATATAATCCAAGGGGGAACGGCCAGGTGGAAAGATTGAATGGAACTTTGTGGAAGGCTATTACGCTTTCATTACGATCAAAGGGTCTTCAAATCAGTCACTGGGAAGCCGTTTTACAAGACGCTCTCCACTCGATTCGTTCTTTGTTGTGCACGGCCACCAATGCTACTCCACACGAGCGGATGTTTCATCACAATCGAAAATCCGCAGTCGGTACGTCCTTGCCACAGTGGTTGCTTTCGCCAGGACCAGTTTTGATGCGGCGAAACACACGATCTTCAAAGTACGACCTCCTAGTCGAAGAGGTCGAGCTCCTGGAATGTAACCCTGAGTACGCATATGTCAGACCCCTAACGGCATGGAAGAAACGGTCTCCCTACGCCACCTGGCGCCTTCAGCAGATTTCGGATGTGCTCCAGCATCCGAACAGCAGCAACCGGAGTCCAACGCTGATTCATTTATTAAGCCGGAACTATCTGACTCTGCTTCGGAAAGTGAAATGTCGAATTCTTCTGAACACCCATTGGCTATACAACAACAGCGGACACGGCCGTATGTCCTGCGCAACAGAGAGACCTGACATTATTCAATTATAAATTAAACTCTTGAGAACTTTCAACTCTGCGGGGGGTGAATGTTGTATATTTGCTCTGTTTTTCAAACGTTTCATCATTTATTGCTAAATCACTTTCTTCCGTTTTCAGCCCTCAGTGTCAAAGTTTTGGATGAATAAAGCCTAGCTTTCGGGCCGTGTGTGTTTTCCATTGCCATTCTGATTGTCGTTGCACTCTGACCCTCGTCGTACACAACACCTGAACTACTTCATGACAGCTAAGTCTGTTTCTACCACTGCAGTTCTTAATCACCCCAGAGGTTGCGCCTATTTGCATCAGCCAACAGGAACAAGCCCCTTAGACTAATTTGGCTGTTTTGGGCTGTTCCGGCGTCTAAAGAATGAGACAAGATGTGTTGCCTCCATCAATAGCCGGTTGTGTTGCTACCCCACTTGACTGATCAGGATATGAATTGGCCAAGGGGTAAGATACGTCTTGATCGGTAAAACAGTCCTTACCGACAACGGTCGAGGGCGCTGGAGCACAAAGTTGGTTTCATCCGTTTCATTCACGGGGGCCAGTGGAGTTGCATTACATTCTTATTGTAACTACTTTGTAACGAAGTCCTCGTCGGCTTTTCTAGGCGGACATTTGACAAAACCCCAAGCAGCCTTTGACGTTCGACGCTCGTTAACATCATTTTGCTTTGGTAGAAACACCGTCATGAAAAGCCTAGTAGTGGTGCTTCCTATCACCAAGGTATACATTGCAAAAGGTATGAGGTCAAAGTACGCGCACTTTACTGGGATGAAAACGCTGAATTTCCCCGTTTACCGTGGCAATTGATCATACGGGAGCTTTCATAGTTCGTGTGTCACCACTTTTATAGAAAAAGTTACCACACACGTTCTAACCCCCAAACCGGAGGACTAGAAGACTCTCTTGATCAGAGTTTGAACCACTGAACAACCTGTGGTATGAAAAAGAGATTACGAAGTTTGGGTGTTGTTGGTGTCGTACGCCTTCCAGGATGGGGTCCCCGTAACCTCGCCAATGCTTGGTTGGAGACATCACAGGAGCGACGTCATTGGCGTTTGTGCTGTCAGTTCCTTTTCACACTGTCTGACTGAGCGCTTAAAGGTGAAGGTACCACAAAATGTTTGACATAAGCAAGCGCCAGGTCCCCTGCCTTATCCACACTTTTTCTCTTCTTTTCACTCTAGGGCTTCAAATATACGTAGATGAACTTTATGGCTGTACGGCAGTGAAGCATCACTGTCAAAACTAGTGTTTTCTGTGATGATGATTTCATAGTTAGATTCCCAAATTCCATAAACTTGTTATGTGAAGACAGTGAAGCAACACTCAAACATCCCAAAAATTACCATCATGTTCAAAAAGGTCATCTTGACATACTGATTCACCAAGAGTTCGCCATCTGTACCATTTTCAAAAGAATAAGATTACAGACCAGAAGGGATTACACGACCTTGTCAAAATCCAATAGACTAGTGGCTGGACTAACGGCGATTTAGTTTGAAAGGTGGGGTGGAGGACCCAGAAAGCAAAAACTACCATAATCACACCTAACGTAAGCAGCATCAGCACTTTTGCAAACTTCTGGCGAAGTAAACTGTGGAAACTATAACAAGTGAACGGAAAGTACATGGTGTTTTATGGCTGATAATGATTATCATACACACTTCGGAAGTTGCAATAGCTCCGTCGGAGGCGACAGATCGAATCAAAGCACAAATCTCAAAGACCAGACTAGCTTTTGCTTATTTGCGTCATTTGTGATATCAAAAAAGCATATTGCTGGGAACCACAGCATACATGTATCATACAATAGTGCAGACCGTATTGTTGTGCGACTGCGAGACTCGACCGCTTCACCTGGAGGACCTTAAAAATATTCGAGTCTCTGACCACCAATGTCTCGGGACTACGGCTTGAGTTGGCTGCAACCAACGAATTCACAACGAGGAGACGGCTTCTGTGTGAGGCCGAAACTACAGTTCAGAGAATACATCCGCCATTACAAGCTAAGTTGGCTGCACCATGTCTTACGCACACCGAGCCACTATCTGCCGAAGCGAGCATTATTTTCTGCGCCTAATTTGGGGCTGCGCAGGCCTACATGCGGACAGAACACATGGCCGAGAATGAAAGATGTCGTGAAAAGTATCGACGCAGCTGTTGCTGTTCGCCTTCAACGTGACCCACCATGTGCTGGGCCTAAGATATTGAAAGTTGTGACAAACTAATGCCATTGGTGATTATGGTGTCAGCTTTTGTCCAGACTGTCTGACTGAGTGTTAGAGGTGTAGGCACCTTGGATGTTTGTTTCAGGCTAACCGTGTGTTCTCTGCCTGTCGTGCTTTATCTTCCTTCCATTACAATTTTATATTCAAAGAGTTTCACAAGTTTCGTATGACAATGGAGCGCTAGTGTTCTCATCTGGTGTTAACGATAGTGATGGCGTGACCTACAATCTATAGTTATTCCCTCGGCCTATCTCATGGTAAGAAAAGTTCGGGAGGCTTGCGTAATCATATTATTACAAGAGCGTGTGGTTAGATTCCAATGCAAAAACATACCGGAAATGAATGCACACAGCTATCAAGAAGTCCCGTTGAGCGTCTTGGAGACAACGTAGGATGGACAACATAGGGGAGATGATGACTGACGCGAATCGATAACACATGTTCTGATATCACAAGGCAAAGCATCATTGGCTATCAATGGGCTAGACGAATGTAGGGCACAGTCCGGCTAGGGATTCCGGGAACTCCGATTCCGTTACTGGCTCCAAAGTTATGGATACTGACGAAAGGTGACTGTTGAATTTCCGAACCGTTGAGATTACTTCTTTTTCCAAACGCCGACGGTGTACACCGTGGTGACGGCTGCGTTTAGCCCACGTGGTGAAGCCCTTCGAACAGCCTGGAAATTGACACATAAGTAGGGGAGCGCCATGACGCTTACGTTCGTGAACCTCCACCATGGACTTACAGACGTAGGCTACAGTACATGTGGGATAGCGACATCGGTACTGTAGTCGATCTTGCTTGTTCTTATGTGTCTCCTTATGGCGATCCAAGGAGTTCTGATACAAAGATTGATATTCACAGCCAGGGTAATCACAAAGATAAACGCGTTCTTTCGAATGTACATTATGATGCTGGCGCAATGAGTTACCGGAAGCAAAAGTTCGGCCACAGCCAGGATACGTACAGGTGAGACGTTGTCGGGGTTGAATGACCCCATGGTGGACTTCCTTGTGACGCATCATTCCAGGGGAAGATAAGAAACGACGAAAGCAACCTGGGTAGTCACACTGTACCGGACTGGCAGTCCCATGTACTACTTGATGTAAACGCAAATGGTGATCGGTTTGAAAGGTTCGCCCGCATCCGGGATGTTCACATTTAAACTCTCGTCCAGCATTGTATAAATCCAATTGGTGGCTGCGAAAGTGGCTTTTTTCAGACTTGGGGAAGTTGGTGGCGGACAGTCGTTTTGTGTGAGTAGCTACGTGATTCCGGAATGATGTCATATTATCCAATATGTATCCACAACCAGGATGGATACAACAATATAGTTTGGCAAGGCCTGGTTGTGCCTGGGAATCGTGTGTAGTTTCACCCACTGGATCAAATAAATCTTGTTCTTCTGAGGTCGATGCATAGTCGTCTGAACTTTCGCGGCCATAGTATGCAAGTTGGTTTTCATACAGGCGAATCACCTCTGTTGGTGAAACGACCTTCACGGAACTCAAAGACTCATGTTTAGTTTGGCATGCATGACTGGGGAATTTGGAATCTGGTCTTAACACATCCTCTGGTGCAGGTAAGCTGTCAGTAACTCGGTATTTCGACTTCAAAGCAGGGTCCATGATTCAACAGGCTAGAAAATTTCTACGGGCACATTTCATCCCTAGACAACCCACAGAATGCGTGGGACAACGGTAAAGGCGCTACAGCATTCGCACGATCTGTTGCTGGTCAATTCAGGGAAGCCGGACCGGCGGCTGCGGGCAGAATTGTCCGACGAGCGAGGACAGACGTCCAAAAAGAACCCAAAGACCTTGACATATTTCTGCGATCTGATTCGACAGTCACTGGCACACCAGACAGCAGGTGGAGGACCGTCTACCGCGATCCGTCCAATAGAAAGCGAGCAAAACGCAGTGGCGGTGTCTCTGGAGTCTGGGCGTCCATGAAGCTTCATCCACCGCGTCCTGGACACACATCCAAAGTTTCTCGGAAACCACGGTTCCAAAAACGAAAACATTAACATAAACTTTTTGCAGTTGACGGTAACTATTCGTGCGCTTCCCACGCGGTCGCAGTTTTATTGGAAGTTGCTTAAACGAATTTGGGCTCGATTGTGTGCCGGCGGCTTCGTTCATTGTCTCTATGAAAACGGTGGGAAATTTTGTAGAAAAGCTGGTTTCCTCGCGTGTTCTATTATCCACTGGATTTGGAAATAATGTCAAAACGACCTAGAAAATGATCACGCCCACTATGTCCGAGCAAACTCGAATTAGAGCGGTCGTTCTTCACTTAGATGTCAAAATTTCTTCTATGGTTGCGGCATGCCTCCTGCCGAAGCCGAGGAATTTGTCACAGTTAGTAGCTTTCGTTTTTTATGATGATCAACACACGTTATATCTAGCTTAAGGCAAGGTTCGATCTTTACCGACATGCCGAACCACCAATAGTTCCGTTGGATAAATTATTGGGTTTGTGGACAGGACAAGTAGAATGCACGGTAAGATGGCCACTACTTTCAAGTCCTTGCACACATTAAACGGGTAACACGCTCGTCTGTGAAACATTAGAGATACGGTGAGCAACGGGCATGCAATCAGACTGGGTATTGTAGTCGCAGCACCATCATCGCGACGCCGTACCTCGGTTCGTGGACAGCCTCGTACACGGACACCTTGGATGATCCGTTTATGGTCTTGATTGTATTTAGGATATTCTTGAGTCTATGGGGGGTTCGTGGTGGCTCATGGCTGCCATTCAAATCAGAGATATCTGGTGCTGCTGCGTGTTGGTGCGGCGAATTGACTTACGAATGGAGCTGTTACAGCCTAAAGAAAAGCATGGAGCATTCCAAAGCCAGTTGCCTCTGAGGCGTCACATCACTTATATTTGGTGAGTCTCTGTTAGCAGCTTATGCTCTTCCATCAATCCTGATGATGATGCCTTCTTTTGGTGTGCATCCTGTACTCAAGTAGTGTCACATTATCATAATCACCTTCATTCCGATAGGCTGGTGGCGTACCGTCAGGCATGGTCATAAGGATACAGTCAGGATAAAACGTGAGTTTGTTTGCGGTTACATATTATGAAACAAGTAAACGATAGGGCAGAGTCAAGAGAAGGAAGAGCATAGTTACGGATGTGCTATCAAACTGAGTGTAGCAGTGCCATGCAACCAGTGCACTGAAATGCATCGGTTTCTGGACAGACCAGTAACGGACGCCATTTTTGAGGTGATTTGGTTTGCGAACTTCTGTAGATAGGGGGTTTGGTTGGTCGAGTAAATCCTCAGAGGTAGAACAGGGCTTACATAAGAGTACACGTATTTTTCTGATCCGGTTGGAGAGGTAGTGTGGTGCAGTGTTTTATATGCATTCGAAGTTGTGCTCGTTTTGATTGTAGCGCGACAGATGAGGTAAATACACAAACCAACAATGCTTGGGTCGCGTTTGCTAATTTGAAACACCTATGGCCTCAAGGCGGTATATTCGTGAACATCAAGTTCCGTGTGTATCAGGCTGCAGTACGAACTATTCTTTTGTGAGGCTGTGAGACTTGACCTGTTTGAGAACAATGCGCTTTCAGATGTTTGTCTCAAAACCATATCTCATGTGGGTCGATGACGGCGAATCCGTAAGCCGACAGTTACACAGCGATTTTTCGGTTGTGCAGCGGGGATTTCCACTGAGGAATGTGTCCCTGCAGTCTCCAAATAGATCATTGACTAACTGGGACAGTTGGATCGCGTCGTGTTTGGTTATATTACTAGCTAACTTATTCGGATATGGTCGACACGAGTTCTGAAGTGAAGTTGGGTTGCAACACTTCAACATTAGCGATGAGTTGGATGAAGCTCAGAAGGGTGTCCCTTGTCGGTTAGGTTGCTAACGTAGTTGAGAATGTGATGGGTACGGGTTCCGATTAAGAAGACCGAGGCGTCGACTTTATTAGGCTACCTTGTTTCGGTATCGGGGAGCAGAAATCAAGTGAACTTGGAATTTATTGCTCCAAACGAGCGGATTTGACACCAAGCACCCACCCACTCCCTAGATCTTTGCGAAGCCTGCATCCATGGATGCATGTTTGAGGACGCGTATGACCCTTGGTTCTTAGAGCTCATTTCTTCAACACATGGTCTTACGACTGACAGGTATACACCCCTCTTTAGCTTCAACTTCACCGCGATCAGTAATGCAAATGGTTGTCGAATGGTGCTATCGAATCATCGATATACATACGGCTCCCTCGTTATCGCATATTGGACCATTTCAGCAAGTAGTGATTTTACCTTACCTTACCTTACCTTACCAGGTTCAGCGCGGAGAACGACCAGGAGTTGTGGACAAAGGGATTTGTTAGGCAGTTGGTGAGTTGGCCACCGAAACTTTGTTTAATCATCTCTTGTAAGTGATATCGTGGAAAATATGCATGATTCGTAACTGATTACACATTTTTCAGAAACCCTGTCTAGTGAAAATTTGAGAAGTGGATTGACCACACATTATATTTGTACCAATGCAACCAATAAATAGAAACATGATCTGTTATAGGTGGTTGTGTATTTTTCATGCATTGAGTGTTGGCAGGTGGACAACATATGGATATGAAGGACCGCCGTTGGCCATTGGATTAGTTTACTATGTACAGTTGGGATATTGTAGTCAGCTGCGAGCATGTGCATCGGTCCGGCAATTACTTTAAGTAGCCTTGACAGGTGACATCAAGTATAGCGATATCGACTACAATTACGAGTCGTTGGCTGTTAGACTGAGATGTCACGCATAGTCGAATCCCCGCCTTTATCGACCCGTACTGGCCTGGAGTTTATTATAGGTAGCAGACATAAGCGAGAGCGCGCACAATTATGGGTATGACGTGTCATCGTCGGCAGTAAGACCGGGACCCTGCGCATAGTTGAGGCCCCAGCGTCACATACGGGCACCCGCCTGATATTTTCAAAAGGCAGGTTGGCTATTTTGCGTGCAGGTTTGCGTGTGAGGTTGGATTAGGTAACCGTGTGAGCAACGCCGCGCATGGACACAAACCTAGCAGGTACGATAAGTAGCCAAGTCAGGCCATACCGAGTATATCAATGAATATAACAGGCCTTCAGTTTAGGCTCTCACGTATGGTTGGGGCCTTATTTTCACCGCCCCGCATGGATACTAGCCTGGTGTTTACTGTAGACATTAGAGATAAGCGAGAGCGCACACAATTATGGGTATGAAAGACAGTCGTTGGCCATTGGACTATGTCACTGTGCATAGTTGCGGTCTTACAATCAGCACTGCACATGACCGCTGGCTTGGTAGTTGAAATGAGTTGTCGAG